ATTTCAATTTTCAACGATAATTAATATTTTATTTGCTATGTTTTTAATCTCGATTATATTATACTATCTATTTATTTGCTTTCTTTTTTTTCTTCTCTTTTAGTCCTCCCCTCTTCTTCCCCTTCTCTTTTCATTTTATTTGTTAGACCAACCAGCGCCTTAATTAACACATATAGTTTTCCACTTTTTCTTCAGCGTTTTTATATTTCATTATGGAATTTATTTCCAATACTATTGTTACAGTAAACTGCATGATTTTTAAAGAACAAGAAGAAATTTCTTTGATGGCCTACACTTAAGTTTGCTTTGTTTGGTGATCTGAAACAATGGGCAATAGATAACTGTGTACAGTAACAGATATGCCAATCATTATCAGGCGAAAATAGGCTATACAACTTTTTTTAGGCTAAAACGATCACCGGCGATGTATTTGGCCAACGAAGAACAACGTCAGGCCAACATCAATGGTATCGAGCCTCAATCGCAGTTTAAGCTACGGCAGATTGATATAGCGGGTAAAACGGCAGGAGGAACGTTCGGTCATACCATTAATGAGGCCAGTAGTCTTTATTCATGTTTGTTACCTCCTAACGCTGTCTCCGCATGAGTGACTAACAAACTTACAAGTATTCTGTGTGTTTGCTCACGTTTTCTAGCAACTGTTATTCTGTTTGTGGCTAATGATGGTGACTGTGGTTGTGGTGTTAGCAGTTTTCAGGATTTTTTTCAAAGCTGATTTCCCGCGACATGGCAGCAATAACCTTTCACGAGCTAGAAGTAATTCTGCTATCATGAATTTGATCAGCTGCTTCTTCACCCCTGTCGTCGTTATGAGCAACAACAATCGGGAGGCTTTAACAGGATTTTTTTTAGGGACATAAATAAATTTTTAGGTATTGAAGTGCTAAGGATTAACAACCAACTGTCATCGTTTTTTTTTACAAAGTTTATCTAGTTTTTCACTGCTATTTAGCTTTCCGGTGAAATTTGATGGGCTAAGAAGACGATGAAAAATATGTCTTGTGGAACGTTTAACAGTTTTATAGGGATAATAAGTTTCAGCGAGTTTTAGATTAGAAAATTTATTGTTTTTTTAATAATCATTTTATTTTCTTTTGCAAACTCCAGCACATTTTTTTCGGATAGTTTCTCTCAAATATTAAGTACTTTTTTATTTCTTTTTTCTGGGCATTTCTTGTATGAACACTTCGTTTGCCAAGCAGTATAGACACTTATTGTTGCTATTGTTTAGCCTTAAACTCTTAGTTTACAGTTTTTGTTCATTAGTCCAGTAATTTGATCTTCTCAAGTAATTGAAGGTTCCCATTTTTGGTTTTATCCTTTTTTATTTCGACCTGTGCAGAAACAGCAAACTGCATCAGTGAATACATTTAAGCGGCTGAAGTTGTTAACACGTTATTGGTATTTTGCCACTACCGTATCGTCGTTGTCCATTGTCAAAAGCACACCGTAGTTTACTGTCTGTTCGCAGATCAAAACTGATTGTTAAATATGCTGTAAAATTTTTACCGGAAGTCTTAAAGTATGGCTCGTGAAAGTGTGTTTTTGAGTATTATTGATATATTAAAAGTTGTGTGAAAAAAGAGAGGTGTCATTATCTTTTGTTATTACTATTTGTCAACTTTTTTGTTTTGTAGTGTCCTCGTGTTAAGCGGGTTCTGTTTCGTTTTTTTTCTTTCTAAAGAACAAAACGAAAGGAAAATTTATTTAGAATTTTTGGTTTTTAAATAACTTAATTGTGTGCGTTTCTTTTTTTTATAAGTAGCGTTTATTTAGGCGGTGAAAGTTTTTTGGTTGTTATAAGAGTGAATTTTTTCGAGTTGTTGGTTCTTGTTGCATCTTTGATTTTCCTCATTTTAGTCGTAGGATGGAAATAGCGGCTATAACATTCAACATTTAATGAAAAAAGTAGACAGATTATGAAGATGAAGTAAAGTTGGAAAAAAAAAGAGAGAGTTTTTTTTTTGTTGCAGTTATTTTTGTGTGTTTATTTTTATTTATTTATTTATTTTTTGCAGTTGTTGTTGTTGAAGAACCTTATAAAATTAGTGGGTTTGTTAGCAAGTTTTTCTATTTGATTTTTTGGAATTGTTCCGCAATATTGCTGTTACTGCTGGACACTTAGCCAAGTGGCGTCAATAATCGTTGAAGAGAATTAAAAACTGCAAGGATTAATTGTATGGCTAAGTGTAGTAAAGGAGTCAATATTTAAAGTGTTGTTGTAGCAGCAGCTGCAGCAGCCGTTGCTGCCACGCTGCTGCGGCAACCGTTGTCGCCGCTTCTGCCCTTTGCCGTTTTTGTGGATGCTATCAGTTTGCATGCATATAATGTAATCGTAAAAATGCTTGACAGAGCGAAGAAATTTTTGGGTGAAAATAAAATTATCCCCCTTTTTTGCCTCCCCATCAGAAAAAAAAAGCATAAAAATAATAATAATATTTTCAAGAAGTTAGAAAATCTATAAATCTATACTTTCTGTATGTCTCCTTCGTCACACTCTTATATTGCCGTTACCCTTCCTCTTCCTTCCTCTCCTCCTTCCTTTTCCTCCCTCCTCTTTACCCTGTCTTTCCTTGTTCTCCTATCCTGCCCGTTCACTAGTCCTTCAACAAATTGCTATCCATTTGATGATCGTCTTCACTCTTCTACATCGGTTTGTTTTGCTGAATTCCGCTTAATTTCGTTCTTCGTTTTTGTTTAGCGTTTGTGCAGTTGTGATTTTTTTCTCTCCTTGGAAAGAATATGTTAAAGAAAAAGGAAAAATGCAAAAAGTCTGAGGGAAAGGAATAGGCAAGCAACGGCAGTGTGGAAGATGGGCATCAATGTGGAATACAAAAAATTGAAAAGAATAGAAGCAAAAATTTTTTAGTGTTGTTGGAATCAAACAAAGCAATAAAGCTATGTGTACATCTGATGAACCGATATACTGAACAAAGTATGTTTTTTTTTATTTTTATTTTTGGAGATAGCAGCAAAAAAAATCAGTCAAATCTATTTTTGCAATTTATTTCATTTGGGAAAAAAAGAGGAACAAAAAAAAAGCAAGAAACAAAAAAAAAAGTAGATCATTTCAATGAACAGCGACAGTTCAAAATCAAAAAAAAAAAGAGGAAGAAAAGGAAAAAAAACAAAAAGAAAAAGAAGAGACAAACGTTGAAGTGAAAAAAAGGGAAATCATTTTTTTTAGTTTTTTCCTCACCCCGGATCTTATTTGAACATTGTTCTGTTCAATCGTTACATACTGGCTGGTCAAAATTGTCTATACATTTATATGTGTGTGGTGCATTTGATAAAGCTTCTTCGTTCTACCGGGTTATCTTCTTGCTGGTTTTCTTGTTCTCGTTTTTTCTTTCTTGCAGTATCATTTTGGTGGGAGAGGAGAAGAAAAATTAATGAATTAAGTGGATAAACTGATTTTTTTTTTTTTTTTGTTATTATTTATATGCAATGATTTTTTAACTTTCAAATAAAAATTGTTCCTCATTAGTAACTGCTATAAAGAGTATCCGTAGGAGGAAGAAGAAGAAGAAAAGGAAGAAGAAAAAGAAAAAAAAGGAGTCAGTCATGATCAATAGTTAATTGCGTGGCTTAAATCTTATTGCCAGTCCTAATCCTCTTATCTTCAATCAACAAAATAAATATTATTATTATTATTATTATTATTATGTGGTACTAATGGTACTAGTGATAGTTATAACAAAAACAATAATAATACTAATAACAGCAATAATAAGAACAATAATAAGAATAATGATCAGAGTAATAATGATAGTTATAATGTTGATGATATCATTAATAATAAAAGTGCAACTATAATAATATTATTATTGATGATAAGAGTCAGTAAAAAATTATTATCATTATTATTATTATTGTCTTTTTCATTTAACGTGAGGATATTATCGGTTTCCGATCTTCCCATTTAATTACAATTGTTCCATTGAGTGAATTCTACTCATCAGTAATTTTTGGCTCAATTTTTTCTTCGAACCGTAAAGTAAACCGGTTTAAGCTAAACAATATGCCACTTTTGTTTTCTACTTCTGTTGCAGTTGCTGTTGTCATTTATAGTCTTTTTTTTTCCTTTTTGAAGATTACTGCTGCAGAACACTTGAAATTCCAATAAATTTGCAAGAAGAAAAATTTTTCAATCTATAAATTTACACACACAAACACGCACTCACAAATTCAAAAACTTACACGTATTACACACTCATATACTATACACCAAAAAAATAAAAAGACAAAATTTTTTGCTAATTTGTCATTCAATTTTTTTGACAAGGCCGGTTTTTTTCATGTGATTCATTTTTATTTGTCGTCTTCGCTGTTGCTGTCGTTGTTGTCATTGTTATCGTCGTCGTCGTTGTCATTGTCGTTGTCTTCATTCTATGATAGATGTCGTAGTTGAAACGCGTCCTACTTATGTTTTGTCATACATATATACAACTTATACGGCTGAAGCCCTTTATCAGTAAGTATTGGCACTAAAAATTTTTTCTTGGAAAAAAAATCAGAAGAAATGAATGAAATACGCCTCAGCTGAATGATTGCGACATACACCGACAGCAACAACCAACACTGAAGAAGAAGAAGAGTGGGTGGTAATGAACACGATGGTGGTAGCGATGTTGGCGATGTTCATGGCAATCCCGAAGGCGGTGGCGGTTACGACAGTTGCATCAAAAATGCTGAACACCCGTATTTAACAAAGAAAAATAATAAAAATCAAGCATTCTCAGCAGCAGCCACTAGCAAAAAAATGATTCTTTTTTTTCTGTCATTTGTGTATGTGTATGCATAGTCTTTGCTCAGTATAAAGGGAGGACAACACGAGAAAAAAAAAAGAAACTTTTGAGTTATTGCCAGATGCCTTTTCCTGGAGTGTACACAAATATATGTGTATAAAATGTCATATGCCCAGATACATCGACGAGAAGGAAGGACACAAGAAGATGAAGAGAGATGAAGGCAAGAATTGAGGTTACAAGCGAGTAAAACCGTTGGATAATGCCGCTGCTGCAGCTGAAGCGCTGCGTTTTTTTTTTTTTTTTTTTTTTTTT